GCCCCATGCAACGCTAGAGGCTTGGGGAAGAGTGGCTGGAAAGCTGCCCAGCAGAAGAGGAGGTGTTGTTCAAGAGCCGGGCTGAATATGAGCCAGTAGTGTGCCCAGGTGGCCAAGAAGGCCAACAAGCATCCTGGCTTATATCAGCAATAGTGTGGCCAGCAGGAGTAGGGAAGTGATTGTGCCCCTGTACTCAGCACTGGTGAGGCTGCACCTGGAATACTGTGTTCAGTTTTGGGCCCCTCACTACAAGAAGGACACTGAGGGGCTGGGGGTTGTCCAGAGAAGGGCATCGAAGCTGGTGAGGGGGCTGGAGCCCAAGGCTGCTGGGGAGCGGCTGAGGGAGCTGGGGGTGTTCAGCCTGGAGAGGAGGAGGAGACCTTATTGCTCTCTACAACTACCTGAAAGGAGGGTGTAGTGAGGTGGGTGTTGGTCTCTTCTCCAACAACAACAAGTGATAGGATGAGAGGAAATGGCCTCAAGTTGTGCCAGGGGAAGCTTAGATTGGATATTAGGAGAAATATCTTCACTGAAAGGGCTGCCCAGGGAAGTGGTTGAGTCCCCATCCCTGGAGATATTTAAAAGATGTGTAGATGTGGCGTTAGGGACATGGCCTAGTGGTGGACTTGGCAGTGTTAGGTTAGTTGTTGGACTCGCTGATCTTAAAGGTCTTTTCCAGCCTAAATGATTCTGTGATTCTATGACAATGTTGTCTTTATTGTTGTGGTTTTGAGATCATTATATGCAGTGCCACGGGATCTGCAGAGAAGGGAATAAAGCTATAATTGAAAGAACTGGCAAAAGAGAAGGCTGGGGCTGATCTGATTTTTACCTTGTTTTTTTGTTCTCTATTACAGGTAGCACAGATGGTATTGGGAAAGCGTATGCTGAAGAACTTGCAAAGCGTGGTGTCAACATCATCTTAATCAGCCGAAACAAAGCAAAGCTGGAGGCTGTATCTAGAAGCATATCTGAAACCTATAAAGTGGAAACAGATTTCGTAGTAGCTGACTTCAGCAAGGGGCGTGAGCCTTACCCAGCCATTAAGGAGGCTCTGAAAGACAGAGAAATTGGCATTTTGGTGAATAATGTAGGAATATTTTATCCCTACCCAGACTATTTTACCAACCTGTCTGAGGATATGCTGTGGGACATGATCAATGTAAATATTGCTTCTGCTAACATGATGATACATATTGTGCTGCCAGGCATGGTAAAGAAGAAGAAAGGGGCAATTGTGAATGTTTCTTCTGCATCCTGTTGTCAGCCAACACCAATGATGACAACGTATGGAGCCTCTAAAGTAAGTTGGGGTGTAATGTTTAATGGTATGCACTGAAAAGTAGATGCATTATAGCTTGGTTGGCTGTAAACCCACTCAGCAAGGATATGAAAATACACTTGAAAGTTTTCTAGGGATTTGTTCAAATATTGGAGGTAAATGTTACATGTAACATGCAGTAAACTCTTTCTCCCCACCAATTCTGGGCTTTGAACCAAAGTCAGTGCTATTGGGATTATGTGTGAACTGTGGCATAACAGTAGTTCTAGGAAAAATGCTACCTTCCTCAGAGGAGTGATGCACAAAACAAAGTGAGGGTTCTGTGACCCACTGAAAGGGTCAAGAATTTCATCTCCCTCTCTTCATCAGCTGAACTATGCAGATGTACAGACCAGTATTTGGGAGCAAGCAGGGCTATACTCATGCTCAAGCCACCACTGTGACGAGGGCTGTGGCCGAATCAAGTCACTGCTTTGCCTAACACCAAAGGGCAGAAGGCTTCCTACACCATTGTACCATATTTGGGGAAAAGTGAAAAGAACTTCTCTCCCCCTAATTATTCTTCCTGAGGAGACCCAGTCAATAATGCATAGGATGGGGCAGCTGTGTGATGCTGGAAGTGTGAATGCATGTGGGGATATGGATTTACACTGGATGACTTGCTGCTGAATCCACAAAAGCAAACAAGATTGTAGGAGGATCTTGCCTAAATCCAGTCTAAACGCAAGCGGTTATTGCTCCCAGCTGTTGGTGGCTGCCCTCTGTTGTAGCCTAGCCCCTGTGCAGCCTTGCTCCTGGGACAGCTTTTGCAAGTGCTTCATTTTGCCTGGAGCAAAACCAGCTCACGTTACCCTAAGGTATAAAACTCCTTGCAGATTTTCTTCAGTGTGTAAACTGGCTTAAGATTTCTGTTTCTGTTGCAGAGTATCTCCCCCCTTGGTTATGCTAAGTGTATGTAGAACTGCACTCTCAATTAAAACAATTCAAAGGTGTGAATGAAAAAGAACAGAACAAAACCAAGTTTACCGAAGTTTTTCCCTTTAGCTGTCATCATTAATCCAAATCCTAGATCAGCAATCTAGTTTAAAGCCTGGCCTCTGTACATTGGCACAGAAGTGGGAAGAAGCTGCTCTAGCATCCTGAGCCTCTTTGTGTGTTAACAGCATATGGTGTTTGAAGTGGTTGGTTTGTTTTGTTTGTTTTCCTAAAGCGGGTGTAAGAGCATTTGTAGAAGATGCTCTCCCAGCAGTTTGCTGGGAACGGTGCTTCTGCGAGGCCGTTTGGGAGCAGAAACCCATTGACTCACAAACTGAGTCTAAAATGCTCTTTCTCTGGGATAACTGTGTTGCTGCCTTGATAAGACTGAACCATGCTCACTTTCCCATCTGTTTGATTCCAGCAATCCCAGTTATCGGGCTTGTGCTTCTTTATGTTATTCTGTAACAGTAAAATGAACTAGAGGAGGTAATACAGATACACAAAACCAAATGCATGTTTAATTTTGCACAAGGGAGTCACAGGAAGTAATTAACCTAGCTTCTGGGGAAGATCAGTGGAATATGACATTCACCTGTAAATGTATTAAAAAATGGGACTTCATTTTGCCCTTTTGACAGTAGTATGTACAGTTAGCTTTGGCATGTCCCCTGCAATGCCCCCAAACTAAACAAGGTGCTTGTTTTAGATGAAATAAATGTTTCTGTATTGTCTTTAATTGTCAGATTGTTAAATTCACACCAGAGAGTTAAGCAGTCGCTTTGCCCTGCAAGTTAATGTACTGTTGCAGGTTTTTAGCAAACAAATAACAACAAATAGAAATGTTGGTAACGCTTTAAAGTGTGTATTTTTATACTTTTTATTCAAGATTTTATTTTTTTAGCTGATACATAAAATACACTACAACTTTTCTGTAATTTTAATAAAACTCTGCCCTAAGACTTGATTGTTTTTAAAAAAGAAAAAAAGATGTCTCTTTCTGCTTTTGTCTTTCTAGACCTACTTGGACTATTTCAGTAGAGCACTACATTACGAGTATGCCTCAAAAGGAATTTTTGTTCAGAGTTTAACCCCATTTGTAATTGCTACAAAAATGGCAGCATGCAGCGGCACTGCATTAGAGAGGTCTTTCCTTTTTCCTTCTGCTGAAGAATATGCAAGTCATGCTATTTCTACTCTTGGGTTATCCACAAGGACTACCGGTTACTGGAAACATGCAATAAAGGTGATAGAATTCATGAAACTATTTCATGTTTGTCAATAGAAGTAAACAAGCTGTTTACTTTCTTAGGAGTCTGAATGAAAACTATGCTCGCGTTCTGAAAATGTACAATATATATTGTAGGACTTAAATGGCATTGTGCCATATTTTCTCACTAATTCTGCTTTAGAAAATGCTTATTTTTAGAACAAGAGAGTGAATCCAGTTCCCACTTGAAATGTGCAGCAAAAATGGGAAAGAGACAAGTTTTTATTCAAAAGCAGAGAGTATCTCATTTCACTTGGGGTGTTGTTGACTGGGCAAGCATTTCACTATGAACAGACTGTGGGTTCCAAAGTAATTTTTTGAATATTGGTCACATATCATGTGTCCTACGTAGTGGCTTTCTAAAGCATGAAGTCGACTAGAAGGAATTGAAGAAGTGGGGATTAGTCCAAAAGGAATGAAAGAAACAGGAAGGATTCTAGCAAGATGTGGCAATTAAAGGAATTGGATGATATTGCTGTTGTGAAATCGAACGAACCACTTCAGGATTTATTTGCAGAACCTAACCGCTCAGCTGTGGGCACTACTTCCAAAATGGCTAAACATATTTACTTCCAGGGGGTTAAATTTAAGGCTTAGTTGCTAATGTTCAAGCAGGTTTTGCCTTGCTTTAGTGGTAATTTGAGAAACTGTTTACCTTAATGGAATATATCATAATCTGCCCCTTCCTTTTTTTTTCTCTTCGTTGTCTCCCTGTGCCTCTCCACAGTTCACATTGGGTGAGTGCCTACCTGAATGGATCTGGGCATGGTTTGCAATGAATTTTTGCAGAACGGTACGCAAGGAAGCTATAACATGCAAAGTGAAATAGGAGTACCCAGATGTCCTGCATAACAAGTTCTATACTCTCATCAGAGTGCTGCAGAAATATTTAGTGAACCTTGGTGGATTACTGTCCTTGCTAAACAAACTACGTGTAACCTAGACATCAGAAGTCTGGATCCTTTCTGTAGCTGCTTTCCTCCACTGCTTTCCTTCACGACAAAGAGCTTATCTTGTTGAGGTTAATCTCTGTTCACTTTCTCTTCCAGGTAATTGGGCAGGAGCAGGTATAGTTTTAATTTCGACAGTAAATGACTCTTGCATAGTGCTATGTGATATCAACTTGCAAAGTTGACAGAATTTGAGAATTGTCTAAATCTGTCAGAAATGGGTCCCCAAAAAATCATGCTATTCAAAAAGATAGTCCCAGTCAACTGTATTAAGTTTCTTCAATGTGTAGTTTCATGTAACTTTTCTGTCTTCTAATGGCAGATGTTTGTATGTTTTAAGTGCAAATGCTGTTGCTTTTGAATTATGTTATTTACATATTTACATGTATATTATGTTGTTTTATGTTATTTCTCAAAATGAAAGTGAATTGCAAGGTACTGTGGACTTGGAGGTTGTTTAAATGATTGGAAAGGTCTTACAGAGCTGTAAAGGAATTTGGAAATAAGCTTGTATGCTTTCTTATTACAAGGGTGAATGATCTTGGTAACACTTTAAATAGTGCTTCAGCAATCTGAAATATGGCTGGAGAATTGAATAAAGAATGTAAAAACACATTAGCTAAAGAAAAATAATGAAGAAAAAATGTTTTGATTTAAAAATACCAATTGGTTTCCTAAGATAATAAGAAAAAACCTTATTGAAGTTTTGGTGCTCTATGATTGTGATGCTTTTGTTTATATAAATGAATAGGTTTGTGCACATGTACTCACTACAAGTCATCTGGTATCATACACTACTCCGGTGTGTAGCAGGCTCTCCATCTCAGACTCAGGGAAGCTGTCCTTTCTGTGTATGCATAATTGCTACCTGAAAGAGGGATGTGACTTAGGAAGAATGTTCTCAATCTTTTTGTATTTTTTATTATCATGAGCTCGTTAGTACTGCTTCTGTAATGTTATACTGAAATATCAAACCCCGGAAATACCTGTGGGGTATCTTATACACAGCAGCATGACTCAAGGAGCATCCTCTCCTCATTTGTGCTAGTAGTTGTTGCTTGAATGTTATGGTGCTGTATTTCCTGATGGTGAGAATGGGAGGTCAGCCTGCTCCCTGAAATCTCTGCTGGAGGAGGTACGGCAGTTGCATTGCTGAATAATGCAGTTACGATTACGAAGTGGGCATCTGTTGCTCCTCCACAATAGCTCTGGACTGGTGATGTTAGAACCTGGAGTTCTAATAACCATGTCCCCCACAAAACTTTTAGAAGTAGGTTTTTGTAGAGAATAATTTAGTGCTCATCCCCATACCCCACTGGGTACAAATCTGTTTCTAAGTAACTTAATTCTACGTTGTCCAAAGTTGTATTATGTGAAATGCTGATTAGAGCTTTAAAAAAAAAGGAAAGAAAAATTCCAGATGTTTAATAGAGTGAAACTGCCCCTAGCCTCCATGACTGAATGCTGTTGAGGTACCCATTATGTTTGCTGGGCCACGTAGGAAGGTACTGATGCTTGAATTTATTGTCCAGAGTGAAATTCAGGCTGTAATTTTCATAATGAAGGCTCCCTCCCTTGATGCTTTGTAACTCTTCTGTTGTGCAGCCCTATATTCTCTGTTCTTTTGGGGGGGGAAGATGGGGAACAGCCGGGGGGTATCGGGGCAGGGACCCATTAAATGGTTTTGTCCACCAGCACCTCCTGTGAGCTGACCCCACCTCAGCTGGCCCTGAAAGACGTTTGCTTCAATTGTGCAGTATAAAAGTATGTATTAGGTGCTGCTGATAATGACTTACACTTGTTTCCAAAAGGGATTTAAACAGATACATGTATATTTATCAAGGGCTTAAATGAACCTTGGAAAATGTTGAAGCTGTAGAACATTCTTGCTCCCAGCTCTCCCTCACGCTCCTCAGGCAGCGCCTGTCGGTAAGATCCATGGCTCCGGTTTTCCTGGCGGTCGTTAGGCCCTGCTCAGCCCCGTCTGAGTAAGCAGCCCCTCAAACGCCCTTCAGCAGACGGCTGCTGCCCGGCCTCCCCACCGAC